AGAGCGCAAGTGGAGCTCAGATATGAAAGCATTATATGCTATTCATGTCTTTGGGTAAACTTAAAGATTATTTGCAGCCTTAACAACTGTTGTGAATACAAACACATTCAACTGTTTTCGGTCAGCGCTTCTTTCAGTGCGTAGTGGTGTAATGGTTGCATTTTAGACCGGAAACGCCCTGTTTCATTTTAGCTAGTTTGATACTGGCATCTTCAGCAGCACCCCATACAGTACCTCAGATAACAGGAATTATTCTAATTTATCATAACACCTCCAGCTGCTGATACCTGGCTCTCTGACCGTGTCAACTCGGGTCTATTGCTGTATCTTATCGCTTATATCAGACTGTTATGGAGAAGTAGTTCAGTTGTTACCGGCTGATAACGTGAGTGGTCCAGTCCAGATGCTGTGGTGGTAGTGGGACGGGATGAGTCCTCCTGTAAGTTGATGCAATTCACCACCGCGCTAGCATCATCACTGTCAATGTATGGTAAAGAGAAAACAGCATTTCCGGCCACAACTTTTTAAAACCAAAACCAGTGAACGTATCTATGTGGCGTTCAATTGTCCTCCACTTTTAATAAACCACAGAACGTACGTGGGGCGACAGCCATAGCCTACAAAATGGGAAATAAACGACAAAATAGCTACGAGACCCAGGTTATTATCATCATTATATAAGGTAACCAATGATATGAGAATGACTAATGTAGTTATGTTAATAAAAACTGGTTAAAACCTGTCCGCTGTCACATTTAACGCAGTTATAATGAAGGTAAAATCCGCTCTGTATATATCTTATTGAGGTTAGCTTCACACTGGCAACATCCCGGCACAGCTGGAGCGCGAGACAAACACGCTGCTGACCATAACCCACGCGCACTACCGCGAGACCCCGCCCCCTTACAGTGGCGTTACAAATAAAGGGCAAACCGACTCGTTTAGGATTGAATAAGCTAATGTGAAACTAGCTGGTATAAACTTATCTTTTTCAGTCATTTACACATTGTATTATTATTATATTACATTAGTGTTACTGTTAGGTTCACACAGAGGTTTGACTTTGGCTCTTTAGTGCTAAAACACTGTAATGGAACACTAATATGTGAATGATGCAGCACAAGTAAAAGATCAATCACCAGAACTTTTTCTTTTATCAGCAGAACATGATCTCATTCCTAATGTGGTCTCATTAGAATCACTAAGAGTTGCACTCATCCATTATTCAACAAATATTTGACTCTATAATTGATTTGAATATAGAAGTTTAAAATGTATTCTAATATCTAACCACACCCACATCGTATTGCAGGAATGTGTGGTGTATCCGGACATCATTTGGTCCTCACGCTCTCAAACCTGTGACAATGAGGGCGTCATGAACATCACACCGCCGTCTAATGAAGACCACAGGGGCCGCCCGCCTTGAGTCTCAGGGCTCCATTTAGCTTGTTTTTCTACCTGGTTGCCAGGTGCTCCGAGCCCTCCGAGGAGGAGGGTGCTGTTGATGATGATAATAATGATGAAGGGCCCCCGGGGCAGGGCCCAGAATACCAAACCACAACAGGCGGTGAGGAGCGTAGTGAACCCCCATTTAAAGATGATCCTATAACTGGCTCATGCAGCTGATCAGAGCCTCATTCAGCATTATGTAACAGCATCAGGTCAGCCTGCTGCTCACAGCTGGGCCGGGGACTTCCACCGTCGCTGACACCCATAACAATGTGGGTCAGATCACAACTTCAGGCACACAGCGACTGTTCACAGATGGGTCCGAGTGTGCGGAGAGCAGGGGTGTCCACGACCCTGCATCTGATGTCATCAGCCACCAACATTAAGTGCAGAATGCACGAGCAGGCTGAATATCCGGACAGAAAGTGGACCAGCGACAGATTACTGACGTAACCCGCCACTGTGCTGAATTAGCCTGCTTGATGTTGTGTATGTCAACAAAACTATCAGCTTAGAGGAAACACGGGTACGGATTTGATCTTTACTCTATTATGATGGGAAAAAAGATCAAAATAGACTAAATAGATTAAAATCAGATGAAAAATGATTTCTCACAAGGTTAAGGTATTTATGTTGTAAGGTATTTCTGAATATCTTTGTGACTTCCTTTCAATAATGAGGTTTAAAGGTCCAGGGTGTAGGAGTCTAGCAGTGTAGTTGCAGACTGCAAGTCAGTCGTTTGTCCCTCCCTTTGCAACCGGGAGGGAGAAACTATGTCGAGTGGTCCTATCTACAGCCACTGTTTGGTTTGTCTATTCTGGGCTACTGTAGAAACATGGCGGTTCAACATACCTATTAATATTTTATTCCATTTCTACCAATATATCCTCCTAAAGGTTACACTGGACCTTTACATTCTAACACACAGGTACTCACATTTGTTGATCTTGATGTTTCTTCTGTGGCTTGTTCTTGTTTGGGGCAAACAAAACTCAAACTCATTCATAAATAAAACAGGCCCTAACAAACAAAATAAAGCCGCAGTCGGTAACTTTTTGTCATATTTCTGGAATTCTGCTCAATATCCTGACAGTAGAACATGAGACAGGTAATCTGTGAAACAATCTGGTTCTTCTGGTTCCTCTAGTGCTCCTAATGGTATTAGAAAGAATCCAACAGGCCTGAACGAAAACAACCAATCAGAGCCAAGAAACATAGCTGACTGTTGAGCCTCATTCCCAGGGTGTCAAAACATCTGTATTTGACGTCCTGGGAATGAGACTCAACCATTAACTATCTTTTTTATTATCTGTCTCATGAACTACTGTCAGGCTATAGTGAAATTTTCAGTTTTGATACAAAATATTTTGATAAGTTACCTACTGCAGCTTTAAATCTAGCAAAACTCCAATAAAACTACTTCCCTTACATTTGTTTCTTTATATTCTACTTTATTTTGTTGCAGTTTCTTGCAGTTGAGAACTATGAACTCAACGGCGATGGCAGCTCCCGCCTGTATCTGACTCTATTAACTGGCTGAGCGGTGCCAGCCATTTGGCTCCTATATTCCTTCTGTCAATCTTTCACCTATAGGTGCCATTGCTTTCTGAAAAACAAAACTGCCTCTAACAATATCATTATATATTTATAACTAAATAAGGAGCAATCAAGTTAACAAAGACCATTAGGTATGATGTCCAACTGGAATTAAATTGAATTTCTTTTTGCTACAGCTTACATACATCTCTGTAAATTACTTAATCTGAAACCAAAGGGGAGAAAAGTATATATTTTTGCTTCATTATGGCGCCCTATAGTGATGATTCCATTCATTTGACAGAATACTGTTTTGGTCTCTGTCTATGTAGATGGAAACCATATCTCTATACAATCAATCAAATCTTGCCGTCGAGGAGCAGTGTGTAGGATTTAGTGGCATCTAGCAGCGTAGTTACAGATTGCAACTCCCTCGTTTCACGCTCCCATTCCAAACACCAGGGATAAAATGCGGTGGCTGCGAAACGCATTACCTTCATGCTAAAGTCTCCTTATTTAACTTACAAACACACGTCTTGTCCTGCGCCTCAGCTTGTTGAACGAGCACCCAAACAACCCAGCTGGGGAAAAGTGCCCCGCTAACATCAGTCTGCAGCAGAGTGGACCTTTTGGACAAATGTATCAGCGACTGGTGTCTACTGGAGTCCACTGCCGCTAAAACAACCCCTGATGTTATTTTAGTTGTTACAAACTGGACATGTGGGGTTTGAAAGTACCCAGTGTTTTTTTGAGCGTGACCTATTCTAAGGACTAAAATTCACCATATTTCATTCTCCAACTTTAATTCATTACTGTGTTTTATGTGCTGCATTAGAAGAATTGCATTGGATTCATCAGACCATGACATAACAAAAAAAACATAGCTGATGCATTTACTGTCAGCTGCTTCTGACGGGACCCACTCTTTTTAACAAATCATTCTCCAGGACATTTTGTTTCAGGAGTTTTCTTGACAATACAGTCCAGCACTTTCTAACAAACAGTAATATCATTTACCAGTCGACCTTGTATTAATACATTTACTCCCTGTTTTATTCATTCCATACAAAGAAGAAGTAGAAAGTGTTTGTTGCACTCACAATGAACATTTGTGTGCCTGTATTTATTAAGTGCAAAAACAAGACATTTTTCCACCGGGCGTTCATGACAATTCTGCTCGCTGTTACTGAAAAAATACACCTGGCACGGCAAAAAAAAAAGTAAAGGTAAAAGTAAAGTAAAATCCAATTA